CATACAAGCCCACTGGAGTTTTCTAAGTGTTCTCACTGGGCAACCTCTCCAAAAAAGTTTAATAATAATTTTGCTACTGTTATCGTACAACATAAAACAAGAATCCTCATGGTCAAAAAGGCTTTGCTGTTTTTGTGGACTATCAACCTCAAAAAAAAGTTTAAAATTATATTCTGTACAATGAAATATTTGCCATGGTTATTGTACAATCAATATCCTTCCATATCACAAACAAGGTAGTTTATATGGTAATTGTAATCATCGTGCTTCAAAACCAATCAAATAGCAGTCCACCTAAGTCCTACGTAATCAAACAAGCATGGGTCTTACCACTGGGTGATCAAGGATTTTTGCTGGCACTGGCTTGGCATGAAAATGAAACTTTTCCTCCTCTTTGGCTTTTCGAACAGGTTTATTTAGTAGACGCTCGTTAATTTCATCGCTGAATCCTACAGCCTGTGTTGCTGGTTTGCTTTCAGTTTTCTTAGTTTTTTCTTTCTCATTGAGGATGCGATAATTTACAGGATGTGCCTTGAATTTGTATCTGGTATAATAAATAATTGAACAGTTAGTTGGCAGGTGAGAGTGAATCTTAACTCAGAACATCACAGAGAAAACACTAAGTTAAATGGGGATACGATGCTAGGATGCTGAGATGATATTGTTAAATTTATTAGCACTTTAGAACAAACCATGTAATAATCTGATGAACATTCAAAGAATATTTAATGGATTAACGTATTTGTTCTATGCACTTGCGTAAATTTCAGAGGCATGTGTTTGGCCCAAAAACTTTTAATGAATCAGTATACATTTACATGCAACTGTTGGTTTTTACAAACACTTCCACTGGAAATGTGCATCTAATAGAGCAAACACTGTATTGCAAATTCAGGTGATCAGAAATTGCCAAACTAGGGAGACAGACTGGAATAACAATAAGTAACAAGCAGCATACTGAACCAGCAGAATATCTGTGAAAAATAAATCGTTTCAGAACACCAATAAATATAGTATTACAGAGCACAACATTAAGGGAACCTACGCTTTCATTTCTTCTATTTCTTGCTCTTCTTTTTCTGCCGCACTCATCACTACATATGATCTTTTACGACTTTTAGTCTCAAAACACGGTGTTTTAGCCACTGTCAGACTTGGTGTTGATCTGCGCTTTCGCATAGGAGTGGTACCTAAAGAATAGTAAGCATAGAATTTATGAGAGAATAAAAGTGATTCTACAAAACTTTTATTTTAATGTTAAATTCAGCCGGTTGATTAAAACATGACCGTATCAACAACATGAAGAACTGTCAAAATCAATTATAAACAGAATTAGTCAGTGCAACAAAAATGTTAAATGTGTTTTGGTGGAGATATATTCTGGATAAATGAAATGAACACACATTCTGCATTTTTATTATTAGTATTTTCTGAATTTGCTAGTACATGTTGTGTGGGAGCACACAGTTTGATAGAACAACCTTATTGTATCTACTTCACGACAATGAATAAGATGGTTGTCAGAGTAGTGCTGAATTATTCTGAATGATGGTTTATCATGGACCCAACAGTCTACTGTTATACTAAGAGAATAGCTGGATACAAATGTTATTGACTCACAAGAAATGAACATATTTAAAGGAGGTCACAGTAAATGTATATAGCCAGGCCTTGTAACCAGGTATGGTTTTTATCTATAGGAAAGAACTAAATCCACAGAAGCAGGGATAAATGCAATAATGGAATATTGTACACACCCTTAGATTTAGGTTTAGTTTTAAATCTTTCTGGAGTTCTAGTCTGGAACTCTCTCATCAACACAGCAGTTGATTTATACTCCTCATGTCCTTCGTCAATCTTTCTCTTGCGAGACTCGTGCAGATGGAAAGGTCTAACTTTTGTGGGTCCCTTTTTGGGATCATGCTGCAAAAGGACAAA